GCTGACAGAGAAGGCGTTTTCGTGGGAAAACGCCTGCTCGGGTATACGCCGTGCACCTGTCTGTGGACAGAAGTCGCACTCGCATTTGAAAGTCCTCCATTTTCCTGAAGAAGGTGTTAGTATCGTGATTGAGTTGCATTGTACTGTTATATGGTACTCTTGTTTCACTTCCCCATGAACTGCTCTACACTTTGTTCTCCTTGGGATTTCAGGAATGTTCGATCATCGAAGACAGACCATGTTTTTGCACTACGCTGTAACAAAGTTTTTGGCTATTGTAATCTTGATCTATGCTGTCGAGCGAAAGCGCCGTCCGTGTATTAAGGATAATAATGGCTGATAGTGAGACTTATAATGCTCTGCATGCTCTAATGCTCCCATGGAGCTCTTGTCTGTGTGACTCTCCGACAGCACGTGCAGAGCTCCTGGAGAACATTAGAGGCTGAAAGTGCACTCCCGGACACTGCACTTTTCAAGCCGTCTTGCAGCCCGTCTCTGTGGATACGACCCCCTCCCTTTTCGGTCGGCTGAATACGACCCCCTCGTTGTTCTTTGCGCAACGCAGGGTTGACCCTGGTTCCAACCCGACTCGTTGTTTTGTTGTTGCGTGATTTTTGCGACATGCGGTCTTGCGTTATGGTGCAATAGTTCAACATTGGCCGAATTTCACTCCTTACCGATGCAGCCTTGGTCACGCAGAGATTTGTTGTGGGTAAAGTCCAGCTGCAACTGTCCGACCCACAATCAGTGTTATAGGCCTTGCGAATCGAGCGATTCGCTAGCGAATCGCTGGATCCGAGCGTTGCGCCAGCGATCGAACGATGTACCAGCGACTCAATAGTGGCGGGACCCAACGTTCAAAGGAAGCCCGCCACTTTCAAACAGTGTCACGTGACAGTGGACCCTTTTGAAAGTGGCGGGACTTGACAGTGGACACTGTTTGAAAGTGGCGGGCTTCCTTTGAACGTTGGGTCCCGCCACTATTGAGTCGCTGGTACCTAGTTCGACTCGCTGGTACATCGTTCGACTCGCTGGTGCAAAGTTCGATTCGCTGGTGCAACGTTCGATTCGCTGGCGCAACGCTCGGATCCAGCGATTCGCTAGCGAATCGCTCGATTCGCAAACTATGACATCGGCCCTATGTTACCTCATTCCGCCCTACTGGTTTAACACACAACCAGGTCTTTTTCCCATGATGTTCGTCCGCCAGCTGTCGATCAGTTGCTCATGGTGGGGTGCGTGGTGACGATCCTTACCCGGCTGCTAAATAAGATACGAACTGAGGGTTATTCTTCGTAATACGCAAGAAGCCAGATCGTGTTCGCGTGCTGCCACTATCCGCTCCGCATTCCCCCATCTGTACACAAAAAGAGGTGCGGCCCGAGCTAGGCAACACGTGGGAGGAGGAGATGACGAGTGAAATGCTGCACCGTTGAATCGTTCAGTTCAGTGAATAAAGTCTGGTCTGTGACCAGTGAAGAGTTGGCGTGATGGTATGATAATAACATGATCCCAGCTAGTAAGAAGGCCTCTTACCTTGGTATTACCACAATATCCTCCATTACTGCAGCAGTGTGCTTTTTCGTCGTCTGGATTGCAAGTTGCCGGAGTACCATCAATAGGTGGCGTCTGTGGACCACAGCGACCACGTTTCCCATCTGGAGCGTCGGATGTGTACCTGATACCACATTAGCTAAATATTCTGCTGAAAGGAGAACTAATGCAAGAAAAAACAGAGCATTGCAAAGCAGCTGACAGTCAAACACTGATCTGCTGAATCTCTAATAAAAAGCCGCTTTGTGACTATAAAAATTCGAAAATGCAACAGCAATAAAAAATGTGTCCAAAATCTGTGAACGTAGTTGTCATAAAATCACCAAGTGATTTTCGACTGTGATGGTCTTATCGGTTCTTTCAAAATTAACATCGGATCGGCAGCATAATCAACACATTCAGGACAACCACAGAACTCTGTTCCAGATCCACAATAACCGAACTGAAAAATCTTTTCATAGCCATGGAGGCTTTTGAGGCTCGATGAGGAGTCAGATTCTTAATGTGTACCATGAACATTACCTTTCCACAGCACGCATGACCTGGATCGTCGGGATCACATACGGGATAATAGCCGTTGTACAATGGCGCTGACTTCCCACACATACCGGCGAGTTCCTGAAACACGGCCTAGTTTTATTGAGCTGTCGCTTGAATCCGAGCACTTGGAAGCGTCACGACGCTGTTATTAGCAGAACTGCTATCACGTATGCACATAATGAGGATTAAGGCAGTTTATGTGCCGATTCACAACAGGCAAATAGCTGACTGGCCCTTCCCCACGAAATTTCTTTCTTCGTTGCGCGTGGTCAACCACACCAGCC